GGGGCACAGCCGGGTATATCTGGGTGATGGGGGAGGGGGCACACCATGCTACACGGTAGATTAACCCTCGAGTCTCCAGCACCGCGCTCCTATCACGTCTCTAATCCTCAGATTGCACCCTAGATGACGCTCTGTCCGGTCCCAGCGCCATGGACACCGACGACCGAATATCCAACCTGGAGCAGAGGCTGCAACTGCAGGAGGACGAGATGCAGGTCCTGCGCGCTGCGCTGAGCGATGCCCTGAGGAGACTGCGAGTCTGCGAGGAGAGGGGGGACCCCCTGAGGGGGAGACAAGGTGAGATACTCTGCGTATTGGGGGCAGGGGACTATTACCAACATTCAACAGAGGTACTCCCAGTACACAGAACCAGACCAATATCATCTCATCCACCAGAGGGCGCTGTGCCGGCTCATTACCACTCATCAGACTGCCGCCAACTGACCAATCACATTCCCCCGTCTATTCTACAATCAGAACAATCACTATGGAGGCGTCAGACATGTCCTCCTGGAGCAATCCACATGGGCACTGGGGGAGGAGCCACATATGGAGAATGAAGAAATACAATGTGTCTTTTCAGGGGCCCATGAATCTCATACGATGTGTCTTATTCAGGGGCCCATGAATCTCATGCAATGTGTATTTTTAGGGGCCCATGAATCTCATGCAATGTGTATTTTCCGGGGGCCCGTGAATCTCATACAATGTTTCTTTTCAGGGGCCCATGAATCTCATGCAATGTGTATTTTCCGGGGGCCCATACATCTCATACAATGTTTCTTTTTCAGGGGCCCATGAATCTCATACAAAGTGTCTTTTTCAGGGGCCCGTGAATCTCATACAATGTGTCTATTTTAGGGGCCCATGAATCTCATACAATGTGTCTATTTTAGGGGCCCATGAATCTCATACAATGTTTCTTTTCAGGGGCCCATGAATCTCATACAATGTATCTATTTTAGGGGCCCATGAATCTCATACAATGTGTCTTTTTTAGGGGCCCATGAATCTCATGCAATGTGTCTTTTCAGGGGCCCATGAATCTCATACAATGTTTCTGTCCAGGGGCCCATGAATCTCATATGTGTCTTTTCAGGGACTCATGAATCTCATACAATGTGTCTTTTTCAGGGGCCCATGAATCGCATACAATGTATTTTCAGGGGCCCATGAATCTCATACAATGTGTCTTTTTAGGGGCCCATGAATCTCATACAATGTTTCTTTCCAGGGGCCCATGAATCTCATACGTTTCTTTTCAGGGGCCCATGAATCTCATACGTTTCTTTTCAGGGGTCCATGAATCTCATACAATGTTTCTTTTTAGGGGCCCATGAATCTCATACAATGTTTCTTTTTAGGGGCCCATGAATCTCATACAATGTGTATTTTCAGGGGCCCATAAATCTCATGCAATGTATCCTTTTTAGGGGCCCATGAATCTCATACAATGTATCCTTTTTAGGGGCCCATGAATCTCATACGACATGTCTTTTCAGGGGCCCATGAATCTCATACAATGTGTCTTTTTAGGGGCCCATGAATCTCATGCAATGTGCCTTTTTCAGGGGCCCATGAATCTCATGCAATGTGCCTTTTTCAGGGGCCCATGAATCTCATACAATGTATCTATTTTATGGGCCCATGAATCTCATACAATGTGTATTTTTTTAGGGGCCCATGAATCTCATACAATGTTTCTTTTTAGGGGCCCATGAATCTCATGCAATGTGTCTTTTCAGGGGCCCATGAATCTCATACAATGTGTCTTTTTCAGGGGCCAATGAATCTCATACAATGTTTCTTTTTAGGGGCCCATGAATCTCATACAATGTATCTTTTTTAGGGGCCCATGAATCTCATACGAAATGTCTTTTCAGGGGCCCATGAATCTCATACAATGTGTCTATTTTAGGGGCCCATGAATCTCATACAATGTGTGTTTTTCAGGGGCCCATGAATCTCATACAATGTTTCTTTTTCAGGGGCCCATGAATCTCATTCAATGTGTCTTTTCAGGGGCCCATGAATCTCATTCAATATTTCTTTTTCAGGGGCCCATGAATCTCATACAATGTTTCCTTTTATGGTCCCATGAATCTCATACAATGTGTCTTTTTCAGGGGCCCATGAATCTCATACGACGTGTCTTTTCGGGGGCCAATGAATCTCATACGACATGTCTTTTCAGGGGCCCATGAATCTCATACAATGTGTGTTTTTCAGGGGCCCATGAATCTCATACAATGTGTCTATTTTAGGTGCCCATGAATCTCATACAATGTGTCTTTTCAGGGGCCCATGTAGTGAAGCCTCCACCGCGTTCCTCACAGAATGGCTTCACTCCCCGCAGGAGGAGCGGCATGTCAATCTCTCCTTCCTCCCCTAAAAAAGGGGGCACCCCAGTATTCTCCAAAAGGTACAGACACCCCCCATGCAAGTCACATGACACAAAGATCAGTAACCCAGAGCAACCAACTAGAGTCCATCAGCCACCCGACAGGCCACTGAACACTGATTGGCTGCTCGTTATCACTGCCGCAAAACAATCATGAGGAACACAATGTAATGTGTACAGACACTGCCCAGAGACCCCACAGACAGACAGCACCCGACAACGCCTGACAACACCCGACAACGCCCGACAACACCCGACATTACCTGACAACTCCCGACAACACCCGACATCACCTGACAACACGCGACATTACCTGACAACACCTGACAACACGCGACAACACCCGACAACGCCTGACAACACCCGACAACGCCCGACAACACCCGACATTACCTGACAACTCCCGACAACACCCGACATCACCTGACAACACGCGACATTACCTGACAACACCTGACAACACGCGACAACACCCGACAACGCCTGACAACACCCGACAACGCCCGACATTACCTGACATTACCCGACAACACCCGACATTACCTGACAACACCCAACAGCGCCCGACAACACCCGACAGCACCTGACAACGCCCGACAGCGCCTGACAACACCCAACAGCGCCCAACAACACCCAACAGCGCCCGACAACACCCGACAGCACCTGACAACGCCCGACATCACCTGACAACACCCAACAGCGCCTGACAACACCCGACATCACCTGACAACACCCAACATTACCTGACAGCGCCCGACAACACGCGACATTACCTGACAACACCCGACATTACCTGACAACACGCAACATTACCTGACAACACCCGACATCACCCGACAACACACAACACCCGACAACGCCTGACAACACCAAACATTACCTGACAACACCCAACATTACCTGACAGCGCCCGACAACACGCGACATTACCTGACAACACCCGACATTACCTGACAACACGCAACATTACCTGACAACACCCGACATCACCCGACAACACACAACACCCGACAACGCCTGACAACACCAAACATTACCTGACAACACCCAACATTACCTGACAGGGCCCGACAACACCCGACATCACCTGACATTACCCAACAACAACCGACATTACCTGACAACACGCGACATTACCTGACAGCGCCCGACAAAACCCGACAACATCCAACAACACCCGACATTACCTGACAACACCCGACAACACCCGCCAACACCCGACAACACCCGACATTACCCGACAACACCCAACATTACCTGACAACACCCGACAACACCCGACATTACCCGACAACACCCGACAACACCCAACATTACCTGACAACACCCGACATTACCCAACAACACCCGACAACACCCGACATTACCTGACAACATGCGACATTACCTGACAACACGCGACATTACCTGACAACACGCGACATTACCTGACAACACGCGACATTACCTGACAGCGCCCGACAAAACCCGACAACACCCGACATTACCTGACATTACCTGACAACACCCGACAACACCCGACAACACCCGACATTACCTGACATCCGACATCACCCGAGAACGCCTGACAACACCCGACAACACCCGACATTACCTGACAACACCTGCCATTACCTGAAAACACCCGACATCACCTGACAGCGCCTGACAACACCCGACATTACTTGACAACACCCGACATTACCAGACAACACCCGACATCACCTGACAACACCCAAAATTACCTGACAACACCCGACATTACCAGACAACACCCGACATTACCTGACAACACCCGACATTACCTGACAACACCTGACATTACCTGACAATACCCGACAACACCTGACATTACCTGACATTACCTGACAACGCCCGACAACGCCCGACAACGCCCGACATTACCTGACAACACCCGACAACACCCAACATTACCTGACAACACCCAACAGCACCTGACAACACCCGACATCACCTGACAACACCCGACATCACCTGACAACACCCGACA